GGTGATAGTTACTATTTAAAAAACTGTTGGTAATGCTTTCAGATGTTCCAGCAGAGATCTTTTACTCTTGTCTTTGCTGTAAAATTTTGGTTTGTGTTCAGGAGATATGTCTTAGCACTCTTACCAGTCGGTCTTTGGCGAAGGTTTAAAGCGCGCAAGTTCTACCTACGTCTTAACTGGAGTAAAAAAATCGCGCTGTTCATTTTTTTTTTCGAAAATTCCGCCATTTCACGTACGTGTTGCTATGGTTTAACGTTGTCGTCCCCAGTTTCCCCCGCGCGCGAGTCTCTACCATGCGCAGGGGTTTTTCAGTTCTGTCCAGCCCGCGCAGAACAAGATTCTTTCTTCTCTCAAAACGGCTTAACTTTGATCCATCGCAAATAATCAAGAGTGTTATATCTTGTGCGACCCGGGCTTAAAACACTATGAGGACTGAAGAAAACCTTTCAGGAATTTCAACTATCGTCGACCTACGTCGAGAAAGATCAACCTCATTATTAACTCAACTCACCTTTCACGTTTAATCTCTGCAAACTGGACTTTTCACATATGTGATCATAATAGAAGCTTTCCCCAAACCAAGAAGCGCAGTTTTCACAAAATTTCCTTCTCAATTGATCCGTACTTTCACCTATTATGCTGCCTTGGTGAAGAACTCTCAGCAACTATTAATATGTTACCGAGTTAAGTGCCGACAGAAGTGCCGAGAAAATGCGTGACATTCAATGAGAAAGCGCTTATTGGTTAGTCTTACTCACGTGGTTGCTCTAGTAGTAGATTATTGGCTTACGGGTCGCTCAGACGAAATAGAAGGGAAAGAAAATCGTCGCTCGACCTGTGGACGCGTTACATAATATTCGCTGGACGATTTTAGTTTTGACATCGATGTGGCTGCATCTTTCTTCCGGAGTGGTAATACCAGTACCACTTTGGGAGCAACTTCAGAATACCCCGCAACTTATTTACATGTCATTGAATAAGAATAGCGTCTATTGTGTTATGCCTCGATCTTCAAAGCCTCCCGACACATGTAAATGAGTTGCGGGGTATTCTGAAGTTTAGCCCCACTTTGAGTCGACGACCATTCGGCTCAAGCTCATCAACCGGCGCTCGATCAAGCGCAGTTCCATCCCATCCAGAGCCTTTACGAGAAGATTCTATTAGAAATCGGGAGAACCTGGTGGTCTCAAACCGAGAAATTCGACAGTTGTTCGACACAATCAAAGAACTGGGGGATATAGTAAAGCGGCAAAATGCCAAACTATACAGTTTGAGCGTGGAACTGGAAAACGCTTGTAAAGAAGTGGCTGAGGTGAAGACCGAACTACAGACTGTACGACACAAGCTCGATCGCCATCCTCAGTCGACTGAGAAGGAGAATATCCTTCGTGGGCCTGTTCCAAAGCAACTAAAGGTTTGTGCAAATTTTTGTTCCAGCACTGCAGCAATAGGCGTTTCCTTTTAAGCTTCGATTCTGGTATGGGAAGTATTTTAAGCTTGTGGGACAGTATTCCCTTCTTTGTGATGTTAATACCGCATGTCATATGGCTTGTTTGAAACTAAGCCGAGAATAATAAATACTCGGGGGCGGCCTCCAAGATTGCTCCAGTGTATGAAGTTTTGAGAATGTCAAACATCATTTGCCAATAGTGCCTGAAAATCAACTTCTGCAATTTAGTTTGAAAGCTACTGAAAAAGGTTACTTCACATAGTTCAGTATAGATTGTTTTTTTCTGTAATAATTTACCAAAATGTCCTTAAGTTAAAGTAGATGTTATTGTTCACTGAGGTTAAATAGATAAATGAGCATTTAATCATTTTTCTCATTATTTAGAGTCAGACTATCAAAAGTTTGATTGGGTGTTTCGACAGCTACACTTCTAGTCTTCTTCATCAGGTGATGAAGTCAAATGTTTATTTCACTTTTCACCTTTGATTCCACATACACTGTTCTTATAAGAAACGTTAATGTTCTTATAATTAATTTTGAGGGGGGAACCTTGGTTAAGGGAGGGGACTTTGCAAAGGGTGTAGTCAAAGAACTTAATTTCCCTTTCTAGGTGGGGAAAAAGGACAACCAAAGTTAAGAGATTGTCCCTCCTAGAGGGGTGGCACATTTCAGAACAAGAAGCCACATTAAAATTTGCAGGACAAATTAAAGCTTTGCTTACTTGTGACTGAAAAGGATTACTTTCACGAGACAAAAAAAGATTTTACACAATGCTTAATAGTCCTCCGTTTTGATCCAAGCAAACCGCGAGGAGATGGAGAAGCCTGTGTTCTTGTGTATTGTGGTCTTTTCTGTCATTTAAAACAACTTGAAGTGACTTGTTTCCGGCTCTCTGCAAAGTTCCCTGATTTTTTGCGATTGGCTGGCAAATGGGGAAGACAGGATTTTATTTGTCTGTGATTTTCCCTCAAGAATTTTCCTACAAGCAAACTTTGTTGGCCATGTGAATATCTTATTTTAGTCAAGATGCTGAGCAATTGGCCTTGTTTACTTTTTACATCTTCACAGATCTTGACAAAGTCTCAGTTCATAAACACACAAAAATTTTATCACCTTCCAAACAAGCTTGGTCACTAACTTAAACCTATATTTAATTTTGTTCATCTTTATGTACCTTTCTAACAAAGCATTACTACTATAACATTCCTTTGTAGCATTGATACTGCCCACAACAGTGCTGTTAAAGGATTTCTTTGTAAGGAACTGGAAAAGGAAAACAATGACTATGAAAAGTCAACTATCAAGTGTAAGTGATGTGTTCATATGATTTTCTCTTTAAAGTACATACATAAATGTGCTACTAGAGTGTGCATGCAATTTATTTTTCTGGTCCAACAAAATGTGGTCACCTTGTAAGAAATTTTTTAAACTTTTGTTTAATTCATCTGAAAGTTTGTTGTCTAGAGTACCCTAAAACAGAGCTTTTCGAGGTGCGTAACCTGTCTTGTGCCTACCTTTAGTAGAAGACCCCGAATGGATAAATTTGAGAAAAGTAGCTTTCAATGTTAGGACAAGATTCTCATCAAAGACTTTTTCGTGAATTTGGGTAATAAATAAATAATAAGCAATTAACCTAATACTATTTTTATGTACCAGGTGCTGTGTCAAGATATTATGAAATAAAAAGACAACAATACCTTGACAATCCACCTGACAGAAGAAATAAAGCAGAGAAGACTGCTCAGCAATAAATTGATGCAAATTTCATGAGTGGCAAGGAGAATGGTGAGGGCAGTCAAGAGGATGTGTGGGTTGTGAGGTCACCACTGTGGCGTAGTCCACAGCTATCTCCTCTCTTGACAAACAGCCATCTTCCTCCTGAAGCTCACATCCATAAAATACAAGAGTAGAAGGAGAGCCATCCACACACAGTCTACCAACTTCCTCACCTGCATGGGTGCTCCTTCCTGAGAGGTCTCCTTCTCAAAATAGGATTCCTCCCTCCCCACCGTCCCCACAACATTGCAGTGGTGATGAAAGCGATGGGGAACCCTTGCATATGTTGGACACCAGCCCTGTCACAATCCGGAGGAGGCCAAACAGACGGCTACAGTCACTGTGGGACTAAATTAATGCCTAAGTGTTCTTTATTTACATAACTTGTATGTTTTGCCTTCTGTTTTTAATTCAGTTCATTTGACAGAATGGCAAGGTGGTTTATGGGTATTAGGGTGAATGGTTCCTTTTTAACCCTAACTCACGAAATGTTTTTTTTTTTTGCATATTGCATTATCTGGATTCACAAATTGAAAAATTAACAAATGATGCCACTTTCTCTCTCTCTCATCTTGATTGGAACATAATCTGGCAGCTATTGCAAACAGTTCAAAAATCTGTGGGAAGAAACCTTAAATAACATAGAATTGCGTCTTTAATTTTGTTGGCAACAATTAATATCAAAACGAGGCTGCGCATTACCTAACCCAGTCTGCAGTGTGAACGGTTCTTGAGCAACACATGTTTTATAAAACCATGTTTAAAAAAACCACGTTTAATGAAACTTGTTTAAATTGGTGTGAACAGGGCATTAGTTGTTAGTCATCACATGATGGAATAGATTCTGTAAATTGGCCGTTTTGAGTATTATTTATTAGATATTAAAATAATTCATTGTTTTATAGAGTAAAGGTTCTGAGAAAAATACACTAGTAAGAGGATGCAAAATTATCGGGAGAATTCGTTGCTTTTCCAAGAACACCTGATAGTATGTGGTGTGGATCGAGAATGCCGAGTGAAATTTCTCGTACCGTGGAATATCAAAATCTAGAATACGAATCTATTCTTCAAGTACCGAGAAATTTCGGGTTCTCGAATATCAAGCCATTCTGATAGGAAAACCAGGTTCTAGAACACAGACCGATTCGTCTACTACCGTGGAATTGCGGGTTCTTAAATACTACGCGATTCTCGTTGTGCCGTGGAAAATCGGGTTCTAGAATACAGATCGATTCGTCTAGTACCGTGGAATTTCGGGACAAGAATGCCGAGTGAAACTGTTCGCACGGTGGAAAAGACAACTTTTTAGAAAGACACAATTTGACTGACCGCGCGCTCGTATACGGTACGCCATTATTTGCGGCAAATCTGAAAGTGTAAGGAAATTTCCGGGTTTCCATACGCCGCGTTTCAATGACGTATCCTGAAATCGGATTTTTTATGCCACGGGTTAAGTCCGTCGCATGTCTTGGAACACGGTACGTCCGGGTATGTCTGTATCCTCGAAGAATACGGATCCGTATCGTGGAATTTCAGCACTGCGATACGCCTTATTTCACACAGTGTTGGTATTAGCCATACCCTACTACCGAAACCAACTCGTTGTGTATACGAAAAGCTAAACGTGACTTTCGGTACTCCTTTAGTTGTCCTAATCGAATATCCATCGCGGGGAATTATGATTTTCACAAGTCTCGTTAACATTGTGTTGGTGGTTTTATAATGGTCGTAATAATATATCACATTCGACGAACTCTAGCCTCGTGCAATGCACGTAGGTAGCGACGAACGAAATTACGAATCACGCCGCTACCGTCACACTGCCGATAAATTGTTAAACCGTTTGTATTTTTGAGCGTAGCGCTGGTGGTTATCATTGCACGTTATTGTTCGCCTAGTTATCACATTGTAAAAATATACCGATCGAGAAGTTGACATCCTTCAGGTGTAGCGTGAAACTTTTTTTTGAACACACGAGAAGATAATATCGAGTGGTGAAGGCCGTCCAAACTAGGAAATCTGGGGGCATGCTCTGACAGAACATTTTTAAATCTAGGGTTTCGGAAATGTCATTTCCTGCGTTTTTTTTTTTTTTTTTGCAATTTAGGCAAATAAAGAAAAATGCAGTTGTTGGTGGTTTAGTTTCCCCACCTCTAGTATTATCAGTAAGGCACAATTCTACGGCTGGCTGCGGAAACTGTCACATACATTTGTACACCGGTATCATGCTGTAGTTACTTAGACAAGAGAAAAAGAAATAGAAATCTCTTCTCTCTTGTTGTTAATTGAAGACCTTTAAAGGCAGCATGGCCGAAAGAGTCGGAGGTAAAGTGGGGCGGAAGCCCAAAAACCATTTATGACAGAATGAAAAAATTATTCAAACATGAAGCAACAGGATAAATCACGGAAATCAATAACGCTTCAATTATACTATGAAAAACTATGTGCGAAATTGCTAAAATCAGCAAATATGGCTTTTGCACGGCACAAAGCATTCATCAGTCTATAAGTTGATTGCTTATCATCATCATTACTAATTTTAGGGGATTGTAAAGTCACACGCTGCGTGTCGGTTGACATTTGTTTCAAGTTCCAGCGTGCTACAACTTCGGCTTCTACAGACGAGAAAGTCTGCACTCTCGCTTGAGAGCAAATATCAATAGCTCTATCAAACTAAAAACTGTGTTTCTATCCCGAATATAAAATTAAAATAGTGTTGTCGTTGTCACTTACCGCCATCGAACATTTCCATGCAGAACTCCCCAAGACTAACATCTGTTGCCTGACCCGCAGGCTTTTTGTAGGAATTATTCAAGCCCGTCGTTCCTGCTGTCTGCTAAATAACAATTTCAGAATAATCTGCAGATCTCTATGATTATTTGCTTCCTTCGGTCGTAAAGTATCTGCGTTTTTTCTCAAGCATTCTATTATTACATGTAAATCTACATCTCTCTCGATCGAGTGTTGCCGGCGTTTAATTGCATGACTTGTAAAATTGATTAAGAATGAGAAATTGCGGATTTTTCGGGCGGAATTGCTTTTGATTTCTCAATTGATGTTGTTGCAAACACAGCTTTTGGGAGTTACGAAACAAAAAAACTTAACGGACCTAGTTTCATGTTCTAATGGAAATAGCAAATAAAAACACATTCTCTTGAGAAAAAAATTCATAAATAACAGGGGTTCTTTCAAGAAACAAATATTGATAGAAAAGTTTTCAGTTCTGGTCAATATTGACTTTTCATAGCCTACTTTCAGGGAACGCGCTGACGGAATTAAAATAACATACATGTGTGATAATGCAGGAAAGAGTATAAAAATAAAAATAAAGAAAAAGGAGAAAACATAGGAACCTGTGTTGCAGTGTGCAGATATCTTTCGAGCCAGACCTACACACCTTGGCCCAACACTACGCAATAAAACTAGAATGGGTGCTGTATACCAACTGGCTCGCACGCGCACGCAGGAAAGGTCATGACAATCAGCAAAAATAATAGCAATTGCAGACGATATTTGCAGTAGAAAACAGGCAAAGGAAATGACAGAAGGATTAGGAACTTTCTAGAAGTGCTTTCTTGTAAAAAAAGACAAATAATTTTTACTTCTCATGAAAGGTCACGCTAAGCAATGCTAAGCAATGAAGCACACTTTTTTATCGGTTTACCGTCATGTATAACTACTCGCGATGTTGAGAGAACGCGAAAAAATTTTTTAAACAATGACGTGCTTCTTAAATTTTACAGAAAGTGTTTAGAGTGCTTAAACTTGCCAAAAACTATCAAGTGAAGGTTGAAATCGCGGACAGGAAACGGAATTGCCATAAATGTTGACCAACAAAGGTAACAAAAGTCATAAAGACGCGGAAACTAAATTTAAAAGTATCTAAAACCTGGATTTAACTTGCAAACTGCGGCAAAACGTATTATGCCATTTAGAAATCAAATACGAAAGCCAAACGTAACGTCCGGTACTCCTGTCTTATTCCCTGCTTTTAGTTTATCTAATTAATTATCCATCGCGGAGAATTATGATATTAAAAAATCTTGTTGTTATCGTGATAGTGGCTTTAATGGGGTCGTAATAATATATCACATCCGATAAACCTTATGGCCTCAAGGAATGCGCGTATAGACCAAAGAACGAAATTACGAATTATGGCGGTACCGTGACACCGCCGATGAATTGTTAATACATTTGTATTTATGAGCGCTGGTGGGTATAATAGTACGTTATTGTTCGCCTAGTTATTACGTCGTAAAATTATTCCAATTTCTTCGAGAAGTTGACATCTTCCGGGTGTAGCGTGAGATTTTTAAGGGGAACGTACGAGAAGATAGAATCGAGCGGAGCAGAACAAATGTCTTGGCGGTAAAAAGCTTAGGATATTCGGAGTTTGAGTAGCTTATCACAGCGCCCCTTCAGCGTTTTCCACTGTGTCACTAGATACCTTTCACAAATTCTGAAAACTATCTGAATTTTTTCGTTTGAAAAGCTAAGGTCGACATTGGAACGAGAAGGGCACTCTTAAACCTGCAGAGTGACCTGGCTTAATTTCTTCATTTTTGAAACAATGATTTACCATGCGTGAAAGAGACTCAAGGCGGGATTCTACCTAAAAAAGTGAAATTTTTGCATCATTTGTAACAGCTATGGTTTTCATCAGAACCATAGCAGACTATACATCACTGGAAAGCTATTGGCCTGAAGATTATGAAATGTGTATTTGAGTGTGATGTTTATTTTTGTAACCTGATAACAAGCCCTTAAAATACTCTAAATTACAGTGGCCCTAAAAATAATTGCACTAAAGAGACAATAGTAAGGTAAAGCGAAATACTCTGATTGACAATTTGTGTTTTCAACATTTCAATTACAGTGTAATAAGAAGTTTTTTGCCTTGTTTCTTCTTTTTTAATGATTTACTATTTTGCGTGGAGTGGCAGGGATATTTAACACTTGAAAAAGGTGTATTTAACCAGAAATAGGTTCGTTGAAATTTTCTGGTTACATAACCTTAGACATAGATATAAAAAAGTTGTTTAAAACAAATCGCGTAAATATAGCATACAATAAACATGAAAGAAGCATTATTTAACACAAACCTTTTTTATACTCCGTTATGACAACTCCATGTACGAAAGATCTTGTAATAATTATAATAAGGTGTATATTTTAGGTCCTCATATCAGAACATGGGAAAAGAAGTTACATTTTTTTTCGAGGAATCTTTTTCGCTGAACGTTGCAATTGAAAATACATTAATTTATTGTTTTTTTAGAGGGCACGGTAACGAATCTTGCAATCTGATTGGTTCTTTACCCGGTCAGTATTTTCCTATCTCTGCCCACGGGCCACGGTAACGCTTTCGTGAGTCGCCGAGTACATCCCAACTTTCGTCGTCATTTTTCATAAATATACCTCGTTTTCCGGCTGGGCAGTATTTTTAAGCAAATACGTCGGTCACTACGAATCCTCCCTTTTCTCTCTATCAAATCACTTTGGTTGACAGAAAAATATTGGTTTCAGAATGAATTTGTATAAACAATAGTGTCATTACGTTGGTTGACAAGCGGCCTAAAAACCGTCTCAATCGTTCACAAAAAGTACCCAGAAAGTTGAAACGTGAGGTATTTGGTTACAGTTAAACTGAACGATGGAACTTTCATTCATTTAATATCTGAATTTTCTCGAGCAATTTGTTCATAGTAAAAAAAAAGCGAGCGAAGTTTTAATTTAAGTTCTACAACAAATATACGCTCCTGGTGAGTCTTTCCAATTCCGTTCAATTTGGACATTTGTACCTTAAATTGCACAACAGAAATTGAAGGAATTGAGAAAAGGCTGCATTAAATTC